GCACATGGCATCTCTCTTCTAACTTTCTAAGGTAGTGCCACACCATTTTCCATAGTGGTTGAACCATTTTGCAGACCCACCAGCACCCTCACCAGCATTTTTTTTTATTGTTGTTATTTCTAGAGTGATAAGATATTGCATTGTTGACTGGATTTGCTATTGATCATGGCCTTTATTCATGTTTTTGTTGGCTGCCTGAATGTCTTCTTTAGTAAAGTGTCTGTTCATGTCCTTTACCTATTTTTTGATTGGATTATTTGTTTTTTTGTGTGAGGTGTTGATATTTTCCATGAATGTTAGAGATTAGTCTCTTGTCAGGTATATGTCATTGTCAAGTTTTTTCCCCAGTCTGTAGATTCTCTTTCTATCTTTTGGAGAAGTCTTTTGATAAGCATAAATGTTTAATTTTTAGGAGGTCCCATTTATCTAGTTTGTGCATTTTTAGTTATGTTTGATATTCTATTTATGGCATATATTAGGGCTTGTAAAGAAGATTGGGCAATCTACTTCCATAATGATACTGCCTCGGTAACCCAAGGAGGGTTCACTATGAATCGGTTCCAACTTGATGGCAGTGAGTTTAGTTAGTTAATGTTGTTCCTATCTTCTCTTCCATAATCTTTATAGTTTGGGGTTTCATATTTAGATCTTTGAGACATTTTGAGTTAGTTTTTGTGTATGGTGTGAGGTATGGGTCTTGTTTCATTCTTTTCAGATAGATACTCAGTTTTACCAGCACCATTTGTTAAAGAGACTATTTCTAGGCTATTTAATGGACTTTGGCCCTTTGTTGAAGATCAGCCATCCATGGGATGTGTAACTTACTTAAATGTACACTCATATTGGGTACTACAAACAGTTAACCACTGAACTACTAACCAAAAGGTGGGCAGTTCAAACTTACCCAGAAGCACCTCAGAAGAAAGGCCTAGTGATCTCCTTCTGAAAAATCACAGCCTTGAAGATCATATGGAACAATCCTACTCTGCACACATCAGGTCCATGAGTTGACTTGGCTACAAATGGTTTGCTTTTTTTTTTTTTTTTTTTTTTAAGTATCGAAGTTCATCTTACTAAATAATTGTAGTAACTTTTGTATCCCTACAAGACATTGCAGCAAAATATTTTCAGTGCCAAGGGATTTGAATCTTTTGAAAGAATTTTTCCTTCCTAGTGGTAGGAATTCCAGGCCATTTCATGCCAGTGGCCCTAGGGTATAAGGTCAGATCCATAGTGGCTTGAACCACACAAAATGTGGCTTCCCTAACCCTAATCTAACATGATGTGGGTGCACAGGAAGAAACTCTTATACCATCTTCCCACACACTAGAGTTATATTTGTTGAAAACTGTGACAAATATAAAAAATATTCCTTACAGACCCAATGGAAGGAATGGATTCCATGACTTTCCTTCAGTAAACTCCAGATGTGTCTCACAGCTGTACTGTGATAAACTTTAAAATCCATCGACATATATCCACAATTATCAAGTCCATACAAAGAAAGACTAAGGAGTTATTGTAGGCCAGTCAGAGACTATAATTAAAAGGACAGAACTAACAATTACTCAGAAATGTAATGTGGTTCTTTGTTCCTCCTTATTTCACTATAACTAAGAGGTGAACATTTTCAGGTCCCGATTGAAAACAGAAACAACACCCAACTTTGCCAAATGTTCAATGTTGTTGGTAGGTGCCATCAAGTGAACTCTGACTCATGACAACCTTATGTATAACAGAACAAAATAGTGCCTGGTCCTGCACCATCTTCATGATCATTGATATATTTGAATTCATTGTCGTGTCTATTGTGTCACTGTGGCTTTCCCTTGCTTTTGCTGACCCTCTCCTTTACTAAACATAATGTCTTTTTCCAATGATTGGTCTTTCCCTGATGACGTGTCCAAAGTAAGTTATTAGAAGTCTTCCCATCTTCACTTCTAAGGAGAATCCAGTTATATTTCTTCCAAGACTGATTTGTTCATTTTTTGGTGGTGCACAGTTTATTAAATATTCTTCACCAATACTACATTGATCCTAAGCTTAATCTTTTTAACTTTAATCACTCTCCTCATTGCTCCTCTCCTTTCTCTCTTTGTAGAGTTCATTAACCATATAGTAAGCAACCAAACCTGCTGCTGTCAAACTGATTCCAATTCATAGCAACCCTATAGGACAGAGTATAACTGCCTTGTAAGGTTTCTGTTCTGGTTACCTAGTGCCACTCAGACAAGAGTATACCACAAATGAAATGGCCTTAACAAGCAGGAGTTTATTCTATTACAGTTTGGAGGCTTTAAGTCTGAGTTCAAAGTGCCAGGCTCTAGGGGTTGTGTGAAAGCCCCTCAACCTTGGGCTTCAGCTCTGCCTCTTGCTCCCAGCCCACTGAAGCTAGAGGCATCTCTTAACCCAGACAGCTACTGGCTGCTGAGGCTAACAAGCCCAAGGTCGACAAATAAAATAGCATAGTCCTGATGTTACCAAACCACATGGCAGGCCCATTAATTCAAGTCCATTGTAAGTCCCAAGGTTGGCAGAGCATGGCAGGCTGCTGAACAATGACATGGCTACATGCAGGGTCCAAACGTGCCATAAGCTAGAGACTATCCCCATTTGTTGTCTTGTTATGTGCCGTCAAGTTGGACCCGACTCATAGCGATCCCTCCTTGGGTTTCCAAGGCAGTATCACTACGGAAGTAGATTGCCCCATCTTCCTTCCAAGGAGTGGCTGGTGGGTTTGAACAGCCAGCCTTCTGGTTAGCACTCAAGTGCCTTAGGCACTATGCTACCAGAGCTCCTAGAGACTATCCCCAAGGGTTCTCCTTATATATAGGAAGCAGACCACATCCCAAAGGCAGCTACTCAGCTGCTTGTGATAGATCCCACCATGGAGTTGATTGCCAGTCTCATCATGGGGAATAACTACCACCAGCTGCCCAGTCACTCAACCAGGCCCAGCCACGTTGATATACAAATTTAACCACCACAGTTTCCAAAGCTCTAATCTTTATGGAAGCAGACTGCTATACCTTTCTACCACAGAGTGGCTGGTGGGTTTGAACTGCTAACCTTTCAGTTAGCAGATGAGAGCTTAATCTCTGAGCCACCTGGGGAACTTAAAAAAAGCAATTATATAATATTTATTGATTTGTAATTTACTGTAATTCCAAAAAAAGATTTGATGTATCACAGAAAGACAAATATTGTATTAGACTGTTATTGTAAAAGGTCAAGGAAAGTTTTATATATGGAAGGAAATTTTCTTTGTTGGGGTGGGATGGGAAGGGAGGGAACACTGTTAGATAGATAGAGATAAGTATTGATTTGGGTGAAGAGAAGAGCAATGTGCCAAATGTGAGTGATCAACATGGTGACACTGAGGAAGAGGAAGACATATAGAGGTGCATGGGAGGTACAGACAACAAAGATGAACCCTTTTGCACATGTTGTTGTTGTTGTT